AATGAACAATCCCAGAAATGTTTCCTTGCCATCCTTCCTTCCATCCTCATAATCTGGGTCTTCAATCTAGTATAAAAGGCCCTCTCATTTCCAACCTCACTTCTAACCTATAATCAATCACGCTCTCTACTAACAGTTTCTATTACAATCAAGTTTAATGCCTCTTAAATATAACTCACGCATGTCTGCTTCCGTACCTAGCTTTAGCTCCAACCTCTTTGTGGAAACTACATAGATTTCTTAGCATATTTATCTCTTTCATGTAACTGTTTAGCATTTACTGACAGGTCAGTTCAGAGCAAACATACTACCTTGGGTAATTTGCATTGTTTAAATATATGTACAGTTTCTCCCTGATTAGATTATAAATCCCTCAAGAGCGGAGCCCACTTCTTATACTTCTTTGCATTGATACAGATCTAGGATTGTGCTTTCCCACAGAAGTATTTGAGGTTGACCACTTGTTATCAAGAATATATTTAGTGTCACATTATGGATGGCAATACAATTATGGTAATGCTAAAGTCTTAATACTTATCAAGTGGTATGAAACATAATAAATTTCTTAAAGTCCATTACGTTAACAATTTATTGTATTGAAGTCTAAACTCACCTGTGTTTGAATATCATCACCAGTCACAATATTACCAACTGCCCTTAATGCAGGTGATACAACTTTATAATCATTGTGCCTAAAAATAACAAAAATATGAACTTGTATACTAACAAGAATTTAAAATTTACAAAAATAATACAAAAAAACTCCTATATAGTTTTCACCCTGAGATTTTATTCAAGTTTCAGTAATTATTCCAGTAATATCTTTATAACAAAGAATCTAATCCAGGGTCACAACTTACACCCAGTTTTCATGTCCCTTTGAACCCAGAGCAGTTTCTCAGTCTACCCTTGATTTTCATGATTTTGACATCTTTGAAGATCATAAGCCAGTTATTTGTATTTATACAATGTTTCTTCATGATTAACCCAGGCTATGTATTTTTGGCTGGAATATCACAAATGCTATAATCCTTTCTTTACATTCTACTGGGTGACATATGGTGTTTATTTTGTCCCATTATAGTGGTGATGAATTCTGGTCACTAATCAGATGGTATCTGCCAGACTTTTCCACTTTACCATTATTGGTTTTCCCTTTATAATTAATATTTTGTGAGGAGATACTTTGAAACTATGAAAAATCCTATGCCTTAATCTACTTTTACCACTAGCTTTAGCATCT